TATCCTCCCTGCTCGTCACATTTGAGTCACGCAGCGACCTATTACATGAGCTTCCTGGTTCTGGCATGTGTAGAAATTCAAAAGCAGCATGTGTAGATTCAGACTCAAGACAAGTCCTTTCTGGAGCATCAATCTGCGCTGTGTGGAAGACAATGAATAACACAACTTGTAACAAAATCAGCTTTGAATTTAAGACCAAATTTCTGCCTCCAGTTTTGAGCTGTGTATTTGTTGTTAGTCTGGTCGCAAATGGATGGGGACTAAAATCCCTGCTGCACAACTGGAAGAAACTAGGGAGCGTCAACGTGTTTGTTCTCAACCTTGGACTGGCTGATGTTCTGTATCTCCTCACTGTGCCATTTCTGGTGGTGTACTACTCGATGGAGGATAAGTGGGTTTTTGGGACCACATTTTGTAAGATAACAAGATTCTGCTTCAACCTGAACTTATATGGCACCATTGGATTCCTCACTTGTATCAGTGTGTACAGGTACTTGGCTATCGTCCATCCGATGACAGAGCTAGGAAGAATAACTGCCAAGCGCTCTGTGGTTGTCTCAGTTATGGTGTGGCTGTTCGTGGCTGCTCAAAGCATTCCTGACATGTTCTACCCAAAGTCACGTGTAAACGGCGATCCACAATGCTATGACACCACCGGGGCTACCTTTGTTGAAGACTATCTGTATTACAGCCTTGGATGGACTTTGATTGGATTTCTAATTCCATTCCTGATCATGTTGGGCTGTTATGGACATGTAATTGTCATTCTCTGTTCCAAAAACATTTCAGACAAGGTACTGAAACAAAACTGCCTCAAGTTGCTCTTTATTTTGATTCTTCTCTTCTCTGTTTGTTATATTCCATTTCATTTGTTGAAGAACCTGAATCTCTACTCAAGAGTTTTGGAGAGAAGGAAAATTTGCCATGAATGGAGTGAGAGGGTCTACGTTGCTAATCAAATAAGTCGAGCCCTTGTTTGTCTAAACTGTGCCCTCAATCCTCTGGTTTACCTTCATGGAGATATAGTGGCCAAGTTCAGGCAGCTGCTGCACCAGATTCGCAACACTTTCATGCGCCTGTCCATCATCTAAAGTCAAAACGGAATCATCGCTATTCATTTGTATATGTATTTTTTTAAAACTC